GGAGCAGCCCCTCCCGACCACGCTGCTCCGACTTCCCCTCCTCCACACCGCCAGGATTGAGGCCCACCCGGCGGGGTTCCTGATCCAACGAGGGCTACTAGCCAGCCAACCACTGCAAGATAACACCTCCGATCGATCCAACCCCGCGCAACCATCACCTGAAGCCCAAGAACGCAAGAAGACGGTAGACAATTAGGCATACATTGGTGCGCAAGAAGCCGCAAATGTTTTGGCTATTATTAGTAGTAGTATCATTATTATCGCGAACATCAAACCCTGGTGATCATGGTGTCAAGAGTGAATGAAACCGCACAGACAACCTGTTTGCCTATAAACACTGGAAAGACCAAAGAGTTTTCAACTCACATCCCTGACCAAGAAAATGCACGTCCCTTCATAACTGGCTGTCAACCTCCGGTTGAGGCTGAGGTCGAACATGTAGATTGAATATGACACCGTCACCTGAACTGGTACTGCTTACCGGGTTCTCTTAAACCTTCCAAAGCGCCCATGGGCCAGAGGTGATACTTTCGTCGCCACGAAGATCTGTGTGTACCGTGCATCCGCCAGGTCAGTTCTCCTCTACGGTTGTAAATACTACGCTGTGCGCGCGCGAGCGAAGAACAGAAGCAAAAACTGGTGGCATTTGACCACCACTACCTAATGAGCATTCTTCGAGTGAAGCCCACCGACATTGTTTCAACTGAGACAGTCCACGCTCGCTGTGACACTATCTCAAGCATAACCCCAAGCCATCCAAGAAAGACGATTGAGGCAGTTTGGACACGTTCGACTTCGTCCTCGATGAGGCACATGCCAAAGAGGGGTCAACTCAAAATCTGACTCGAAACTATTCCTCAAGACATTGAAGTGGTTCTTGAAACTGCGGTATGCAATCTTCGTTGCTGGTGAAAAGAATGGGTTGAACTTTCCAGTTCTGCCGGATCTTGACACGTGGAGAGGTACATTTTTCATGATATCACAGACGCCGGCTAGATCAGGCATGAGCGCAAACGTACCAAGTATAAGTGAGTACAAATTCAAACTTAAACACTAAAACAACCATTAAAACCTACCT